TTTCTTTTTGTTCAATTATGCATGGGACATACATACTTTTGGCGGTATGGATTTACATTGCATATTGTGTATATTATGTTGAAGCACAATAATTTAAATGTTTTTTTCATAATTGAAAAGTTCATTTACGTAAAATCCAATAGTATGTTTTAAAAGCGAATTTTCATTATAGGACGTTGTTACGATTTGCAGGTGATTTTTTAGATCGATGGTAAAAAGTTTGTAAACGTGAATGTTATCATACAAAATAATGAAACAAGTTTACCAAAAAAAAAAAGAGAGACAAAAGAAAAACAGATATCTAATTTGTATAAACTATGGGTTTTTATCATTTTCTATCTTTATTGACTCGTTTGTACGGTATTTTAAAATCCCACTCGATAAGCTTTTTAAATTTTGTTAGTAGATAACATATTTATATATTAGAAATTGTCCACGTTTTGCATAAATTTAAAAATTTACCATTTAAAAATTAACATGGTAAAATATGTAGAAATTCTAATTTATTGATTATTTGTGTATTTCATATTAAAAAAAAAATTATTGTAATAAATAATTATCTAGGTTAGAAGATTAAACATTTGGAAAAAATTAGTGGACTATGTTATATGTGAAAAAAATAGATTGTTCATGATAAAAACTAGAGCGTATGTATATGGATGATATCTTCTTTTGCATAAATTCGCAATTTGTATGTCTTTATAATTTATCAATATTCACTATGGTTTTCTACAAAAATGATTGGTCGTCTTTTTCTTTCATCAAATACGTCTATAAAATAAATATATTGATCAGAGAAATTGTAATATATTTTGTTTCTATCGAGACATCTGCTTTGTTAAGATGTTGGAATGTATCTTTGTATTTTATTTCGTTAAAACCTTACATTGTAAAGAAATAATAATTGATGTTTGATTGTATTTTTTTGTATTACTTTTTTTCTTGCTTTTCTACGATTTTGTGAATTATTATGTTTTCCTGGATTCACAACTGGTGAAAGAGTAAGGTTTCCTTTCGAGAGTATTGGTTAAGAGTTGATTGACAACTTTAGCATTCTAACAACTTTAAAATTTCTAAAATCAATAATTTATTTTCTCACACCATTTTTTTTTTAATGTTACGATTCCTTTTATTAAAACTCTTGGTTACTTTTTGTTTTGTAATCGTAGTTACCTTTCTAAAGTTTTAAATATTTTTGTATAGTATATTGATGGGTTTAACAACTAAAATATATATTTTTCAAACCATGAAAATTTTACAATAACACATTTAATTTAGAATTATAATTTTTGGTGGATACCAAAAAAAATAAAATACTGAAATTGGTCATCCTTGTGTTACACTTTAATTTTTGGAATTAACTTACATTAAATTTAACTATTAAATTTTAGGAATTAATTGTTAAAGTTATTAAAATCACTTAATTTTTTTCAATAAATAAATAAAAA